GTCGAACGAATCGAGTCTATTACTCGATCAGTTCGACCCGCTTCACACCACAACCCACCAGCTACACACCAAGACAAAATACTACGAACACACACACGGAGGACGGCAGTAGGCTATCTTAGATAGTTCGCGTTAGTCGGCTTGACAACGGAAAGTGGAATGAGAGAATAGAGTATAGGAGTAAAGACCAATACATAATCTCGCCTTTATTGGATGTATAACAACAAAGGAGTTCTGAATACATGATACTATAATGTCCGCAATCCACTATGCCGCACGCGACGGGGACTGGAACCTCGTGAATAGCTTGCTGCACAAAGGGGTGGTGGACGTGGATGAAAGGGGAGAAGCGTTGTTGGAGGATAGCTTCGATCCTGAACAAGTCACTGCATTGCACATTAGTTGTGACGCTGGACATTTGAAGATTTCGCGGTTACTGTTGGATCGAGGTGCTGATTTGAATGCCAAGCGCGATTTAATTGATTTGACACCATTGCATGGTGCATGTAATCAATTTGATCTAGCCGGAATGTACCTTTTGTTAGCCTATGGCGCTGATCTGGAAGCAAGATGGACGCATGCCATTGAACTGGGACTTATCGTGCAAGGAAGCATTGTAAGGAACACGGGTTTTGTTGGATCTAGGTGCAGATTTGGACGCCAAAGATGACGATGGAAATACACCCCTGCACAACGTCTGTTACAATAATTTTCTTGATAGTGTACGGCTTTTAGTAGAACGGGGAGTGGAAGTGAACAGATTCAATACATGGTACGAGACGCCATTGAATATTGCCTGCCAACATCAAAACTTGGAGATGATGCGGCTGTTATTGGAGGGGGGTGCTAACATCGAGATGACAAATGACGTCGACGAAACACATTTGCATCACGTTTGCGAGGAAGGATATCTGGAAAGTGCTAGACTCCTATTGGACAGTGGTGCCAACTTGGAAGCTAAGAATGCTGACGACGATACCCCGCTTGGTTATGCTTGTGGATCTGGGAAAGGGGCCGTTGCTAGACTGCTAGTTGACAGGGGCGCCAATGTAAATGCATTATCTCAAGACGATACTTGCACTCCGCTTCTGCATGCTTGTAGGGGGGGACATGTCGAGATTGTACAACTTTTGCTCGATCACCACGCAGATATAGAGGCAGAAGATTGTGCCGGACATACTGCATTGCACGTCGCATGTGAAGGCTACCAAGCATCTGTTGCCGATGTGCGACTCCTCTTGGATCGGCGTGCCAATATAGAAGCCCGGACTCCTGATGGATATACCCCACTACATATCGCTTGCCAACATACAGACATGGAAATTGTGCGTCTGTTGCTGGGTAGAGGGGCAGCTGTGCAGGTCAGGACGGCAGAGCGCGGCATGACTTCTCTACTCCTTGCATCCGAAAAGAGATCCCATGAGGTCGTATGGTTGTTAATACGGCGGTTTCCATGGATAATCATGGGTACGTAGTCCCAGTGATCAAGTGGATTCACGGATACAGTTTTTTCTGGGTATAAAAGAATGGAAACGTCGCGTATCATACCGGTACAATATGACGCAGCCAGTTTTTTGGTATAAATTCAGTTACATCAATAAGCTACGTTGGTTTTGGATGGCTTGATGCCCAATGTAGGCAATTTGAAATTGAAGTACGAGAAAGACGATTTTACGGATGAAAAACAATACTGTAGAGTATTTTCATTGCCATGGTCGACGCATCGAAAATTGATATGATATAGGAAAGTATGTTGACTTACAGTATCAATACAGTAACAAGTAAGACAGAAGGTGATACTGCCTGATAGGAAGGCAGTAAGTCTCAGAAATCCCGTCTGAGAATTCTCTTCCGGGTCCTTGATTACCCGCAAGACCCGCTCGATACACATGTTACATTGCATTTATTGCCGCAGGATCCAAAGCAATATTATGAAATGATGACAGAAAAAGACAAAAGAAACACAAGGGGAAGGCCTCTCTGGGCTATCTTTATTGATAGCTATATTCTAAGATAGAATAGTGGCATATCTCGCGTTTGCGTGCCAAGAAAGATAATTCTGAATGCAGGTATGCTGTCCCGACTTCACCAAGCGGCACAAGACGGCAACTGGAACCTCGCCAATGATTTGCTGCACAAAGGGGAGGATGTCAATCAAAAGCGCAATTTTCAAGTTCGTTTTTACTTTGGTCATCAAACTACGGCATTGCATGTGGCTTGCGGCGCTGGACATTTGAAGATTGCACGGCTGCTCTTAGACCGAGGTGCTGATGTGGACGCAACCTGTGCTCGTGGTTGGACACCCTTGCATTCTGCATGTGAAAGCCGGCACATTGATATTGCACAAATTTTATTGGATCATGGCGCTGATTTGGAAGCAAGGACAGCCGAAAGATGGACGCCATTGAGTGTGGCCTCGAGGGACGAAGAGTGGGAGGGAACGCGGCTTTTGTTGGACCATGGTGCGGATTTGAACGTCCAGGACCGGGAAGGAGATACACCCCTACACGGCGCTTGTCGCAACGATTTGGATGATACTGTACGGCTTTTCGTAGAACGTGGGGCAGCCGTGAATGTAACGAATGACATGGATGAGACACCGATGTTTGTCGCTTGTCAACGTCAAAACTTGGAGATTATTCGGCTGTTGTTGGAGGGGGGTGCAGATCTTGAAGATTTCACAGAAGAGCCGCCTTTGCACCACGTTTGTAGACTAGGACATTTGGAAACTGTCAGACTCTTATTAGACAGTGGTGCTAACTTGGAAGGAAGGAACCATCATGGTCAGACTCCATTGTTGACTGCATGCACGTTTGGGCATCTAGACGTTGCACAGCTTTTGCTCGATCGACATGCAGATTTGGACTCAAAGGATGATGAAGGAGATACTTCACTATTAGCTGCATGCAAAAGCTGCCATGAAGACCTTGTAGCGTTCTTGGCCGATGCCGGTGCTAATATTAATATTCATGAGGAGCTACGGGGCTGGGCACCTTTACACGTCGCCAGTGAAAATGGAAGGGCCAATATTGTGGCATTGCTGCTTGATAGCGGTGCCGATGTTGAATCACTAGGAAGAGACAATTTCACACCATTGCACACTGCTTGCGGATTATGTGGGTTTGGCCAAATGGAAGTTGTCCGACTCCTCTTGGATCAGCATTCCAATTTAGAAGCGCGGACGAATGGTGGCTATACCCCACTGCATCTCGCATGTGAACATGCAGACATGGAAACTGTGCGTCTATTGTTGGATCGAGGGGCAAACGTGCGGGCCAGAACGGAGGGAGGCATGACTCCTTTACCCCTCGCCGCCGAAAAGGATTCTCATGAGGTCGTATGGTTGTTACTACATCGTTATCCATGGCTAGTAATAGACAATCCCGACGATCAAGCGAATCCACAAACATAGCCTGAACAAAACGTTCCGGGCATTTCCTGAGCATAAAGCGGGAAGTACCGTCTTCACAGTGCAAAGCTGACAATCTTAAAAATCCTCCTGTTTTAATTTTGGATAACTTGAAGACCACAGCAGAGAATACAAGAACGAGAAAGATGCGTGTGGATGGAGAGTAATAATAGGTAGCACCAAAGTTATTGCCTTTGATTGACGTACCGCTACACGTACCGTGAATTGTTCCCGTATGCGATATGCGACAACACTACAAAATATTTCTACCGGTACTGTAGGGTACCTGGTACTGATTCTGATTCATTCGTTATCTGAAATCTTACTTTCGTTCGCGTTATTAGTCATATACAACGGAGGGGGACAACCGCCATGTTTGTCTAACCTACACTGTAGATGGAAGAAAGCGGTCGAACCAATGGATTCAATATTGACTCTATGAACGACGGTTAGGCGACCATCTCCGCAGTATTATTGCACCACATCGATCTCCTATTGTATATACGGTATATCAAACTTATTTATTGTGTGCAAGTATGCTGACAGAAATATAGAGTTATTTCTTTCTTTCCCATCCCACCACACCCTGTTACAACTATCTATAGTTGTAATATACAGTATATTACTACAATGAATATGTCGTATCGTACCTAGTACTACTAAAGTCTACTATGCTTTTATTGCCCGTGTCTTTGGTAAGACTCCTTTCGAGCTTGCCTTTGGAGAGTTTGTTGTTGATGTCGTATGGCTGTTGCTACAACGTTTCCCGTTGCTGATACTCGGGCAGACTTGAATTTCAAGTGAGGTTTCATAAGATTTATTCAAGACTATGCTTTGGATATCTTTGAATGGAACAGTA